GTGTGTGCGTGTGAGAGTGCGTGTGTGTGTGTGTGAGTGCGTGTGTATGTGTGTGTGTGCGTGCGTGCGTGCGTGTGTGAGTGTCTGTGTGAGTCTGTGTGTGTCGCTGCCTGGCAACTGACTGTGATTCTGCTCATGTGTCTTTATTACTGCACATGCTGACGCTGATAAACATCCCTTAAGGCGTGTTGTTAAAATTGCTTCCAGTCAGTAAATATCAGACTGCAGCACAATATTAGACAGAACTACAAGGGATCATTTTATTTATAAATATTAGATTGCAGTATAAAACACATATACATATATATCAGTGGTATTTTTGCATTTTTAAGATACTGTTTGAATTAGTTTTTATTTTTAGATTTTCCATTTTCATTTAAATGTTTAGAAATGTTGTTGTGTTTTTGTCATTTTTATTAGTCTTTGTGTTTTATTATGTCTATATAGTTTTTAATATATATTTTTTCATTTTAGTATCTTTGTCTATTTTAGTACATCAATGAAAATGAGAAATGTTTCCTTGACAACAAACTGAAATAAAAATATAATTTACAATTTTCATTTATTTAACGTTTATTATATGTTTTTTTAACAGTTATAAAACTGAAATAAATAATAAAAAATAAATATAATTAAAATAAATAATAACCCTGATATATATAGTATTAATAATAATTATTATTATTACTATAAACATTATTTATATTATATTATTTTATGAACAAAGTCTGTGCTTTGCAGCCAAGTTATGCACAAATAAAAGGAGAAAAATGACTGGCCTATTTCACTGAGGACAATAAAATGACAATCAGTCTTATGAACATCCAAACACAAATCAGACTCTGCAATTCTATAAAGGTAAAACACATGAAAATATTTTATATAGTAGACGAGGCGGGCCGGTCTGAAGTCAGAAGGCTCCGGGTCGTACCTCTCTGTCCCGCCGGCCACTTCCTGTCTGTGTTTTGGCGGGATTCTTCAGCTGCTGCTCCAGGTTGTGAATCTCCTGCTGAAAGACGTCTCGCTCGTGCTCGCGGTCCACCGCCTGCTCCTGATGGACAGAGGGACAGTAACACTCGGACGATTAGCACACTGCCACACTAAACCAGAAAAAAACATCTGCGGAGCTTCATCAGTTCAATACAATACTGTCTGCTGTGCGGTTAATGAACGTGGAAGTGATGAGATTAAACGCTTTTTGCTTTTATCACATCATTATGGAAGCTTATTTCTGCGATGGAATAAAAACATTAAAATTAAAAAGGCAATTTTGACTTCTCACAACTTTGACTCTCCCCCCGCAATTCTGAGTTTATATTTCACAATTCAGACTGAGAAAAAAAGTCAAAATTGCAAGATATAAACTCAGAATTATAAGAAAAAAGTTAGAATTGCAAGGGAAAAAAATCTGAATTGTGAAAAAAAAAAAATCAGAATTACAAGAAA